TATATATATATATATACGGGTCCGTGCTAGCGATAAAACCTACGGGAACAGCGGTCATCCATTAATGCCGAACGAACGTACGAACGAACGAAACTATGGGGCCGTTCTTCGAGCCTCGAACACGCGATTTCAGAACGTTGAAACGGATAGAATGATACATATGTATGTATTTTCAAGTTGATTGACTCGTTTCTACTAACATTGAAGAATATTAACTATTTGTATTTTTTCTTCTCTTTTTTTTTTCTTTTTATTTTTAATAATTTAAAATAATAACAAATTAATATTTTTATATCGTGTTATACTCGTATTCTTTAATATTAAAGGATACGCGAGTCGCGTTTGTATATTTCACAATATTCATTAAAAATGATTTTAAATAAATATTTTTTATCGTATCGTATATAATATTGTAGTTTATGTTCAAGTTGACGAATATTTAACTGTTCGTACTTTTTATATATAATAATTCAAAATGATATTTTTGATCACTCGATTATTTGTACTTTTCTTTCTTTTTGTTTTTTTTTTTTTGTTAAGCTGAAAAATATAAGCCGTTCATATTTCTATATAACAATTGTAAATAATTTGTAATTAATATTATTATCGTATAATAATATCCGTATAATTAAAGTTAAAAAAATATATCTCTTTCAATGCTTCTCTATAAGAGAATACAAAATAATATTTAAATTAATATTATTACGAAATAATATATACTTGTATCTCTTAAATATCAAGAATATTCGTATTTTTTTTTCATACCAATTAATAATAATAATAATAATAATAATTTTCAAATAACATATTGTAATCGTAAGATCACAAAGATCGTCACCTTTTCCTTCGTATCTTTTTTTTGTTAAAGTAAAACAAGATGTTTTTTATTTAAAAAAAAAAAGAAAAGAAACGGTGAAGTAACCATAAGAATCGAAAGAGTAAGAGAGAGAGAGAGAGAGAGAAGAAAGACAGAGTCTACATCTACGGGTGGTAGGCGAGTGCGTAAATAATAGGACATCGAGTACAGATACTTTATGGGATCGGTTGGAAAAATCCTTTGTATAACTCCAATAACCGTGGAGGATAAATCTGCCGGTGCTGTCGAGAACCGCCGGTGCTATCTCGCGCTATAAATGCTGCCCATACGTCACGCCACTAGGTGAGGGTGAAAAGAAAGGAGAAAGAGAACGACGAGGGGTTGGAAGGTGAAAAAGGTAGATAGAGAGAGAGAGAGAGAGAGAGAGAGAGAGAGAAAGAGAAAGAGAAAATCATAGGAGTGAGTAGTAGTAAGGGGCCAAAGGTCGTACGACGACAACTACGAAGCTTCGTCTTATTTACTCGCGATTAGGATTATTTCCCATTACACTCGATCATTCTTATCAATTATAGAAAAGATAAAAACAAGAGAGAGAGAGAGAGAGAGAGAGAGAGAGAGAAATTTTAATTCAAACAAATATGCAAATAGTATGACTTAATATATATATATGAAATAAAAGCAAAATTAATAATTAAAATCGATGTAAGTTAAAGGTACTAGAAGGTAATTTAAAAAAAGAAAACTAACTGAAAATAATGAAATCAATTTATTTTATTAACGTTCGCGCGTTGTCGGATGGAATTATTTTGCGAGGTTAATTTATCGAATATTAATTTGATTCATTTAATGAGAAAAATACAGAAGAAGAAGAAAAAAACCAAAAAGTACAAATAGTAAGAATGACCTAAATAAAAATTGATTCGAGATTAAAAGAAAAAAAAATTATTATACCAATATGAAGTAACGTAAAAAAGAAAAGTACGTAAAAATAACGAAATTCTATTATCTATTTCTAAAATGTTCATTTCATAGTAACGTTTAATGTTGAAAATGTACAAATTTTGTTTAAGTAAATTGGACGAACGTTAATTCGATTCGTTTAATGAGGGGGACAAAATAAGAAAGCAACATTATGTATTATAGTAGACCAGAAGAAAGTAGGAGAAGACGAGGAGTTATCGTTGTTATCCAGAATAGTAGGGAACGTTACTTCGTTCAAAGTTTTCCTTGTAATTTCTGCTTTTATATCGTCCTGTCCCGTCCCGTTCCCGTTCCCGTCCCATCCCGTCCTATTCCATCCTATCCTGTCCCAACCCGTTTCGTTCCGTCCCGTCCGGTCTGGTCCCGTTCCGTCGTGTCGCATAGCGTCGACCTCGCTTTCGAAGAGATAAAGCTCTTCTAATAAAGCTTTCCGTGTAACTCGTTTCGTACCTCTACTCGCGAGGGTGGGCATCTCTCACTTTATTATATGAATCGTTGTTGTGCTTGTTGCCTACATCGCGTAGAATGAAATTTCTGTTTTTTTTTT